TTATAATTTAGCACGTTGATCATAGCTGTTTTGGTGAACACTCAGTCATGATGTTCCCTGGACGGAGAAAGGATAGTGAGGAGGATGATTTATTCCTCAATGCTAAAATGGACTTAGTGGACAATAAAAGTTCAATAGAATATGCTTTAAGTGATCCTAAAGAGAATTTTAGAAACCTAGTCTTATATATCAGGAGATTTCTAAACACTGTCACACTGCTGCAGCAGTTTTTAAAATTTTGCTGTCTAAATCATCTGGCTATCAAAATCTGTTTTAGTTGGAAAAAAAAATAGGATTCAAAGAGCCCTATCTCCTCAAAGTGTGTAATTACTAATTCACCATAAACTATGGAAGTATCTTATACCTTCAGGGATATTTGTTAAAAAAACACTAATGGACAACCCACCAACCCCAAACAATCTGGCTGCAGCACTTTAGTCTCTAATACTTTTTTTTTTTCCTTTTATGAAAAGGCAAAGCTTCTTTTAGTAGTAAACAGCAAGAGAAAGGTCTCTGTTCACTTTGTCTCCTCCTATTCAACCTCTCTAGCTCTATATTATCAGTAGTCTTTTATCATAGTTCACAGAAAATTTGTACTGGTGCTTCAGTTTTGTTCTGCTACTATGCTGCTAAATACTTCTCTGGGCTAGAAGTTCATCTCCTTTGCTCACATAATGTTAATTTATGATTTGCCTATAGTGGGATGGGGTTCTGAAATGTGATGGTCAGACAGCTTATCCTTGTTCCCTCTCTTCTTCCAGAAAAGGAAAAGCTAAGGTCTAAGGGATGTGAATGTCAGTGTGTTTAGAAATTCTAGCCAATTGGATTAACAACAACAAAATCAAACCAGACTGTTTTGGTTTTTATGTGATTATTATTCTCACTATACTTCTAGAACCTTTCCTAAGTAAAGTGCAGATTCTATTTGAGGCAGTTTATTAGAGCACAAGTCTAACGAGGATCAGCTGAGGAATCTGGCATTGTTTAGCCTGGAGAAAAGGATGTTTAGGGGAATCTTAATGCTCTTTACAACTACCTGGAAGGAGGTTGTAGCCAGGTGGGGATGTTTGGGTCTTCTACCAGGTAACAAGTAACAAAATGAGAGGAAATGGTCTCATGTTATGCTGGGGAGGTTTAGATTGGATATTGGGAAAAATTTCTCCACTCAAAGGGAAATATTGGAACAGGCTATTCAGGAAGTGGTGGAGTCATCATCCCTGGAGATATTGAAAAGATATGTGGTTTTGGCAATTTAGGGATAAAATTTAGTGGTGGACTTGGCAGTGCTGGGTTAGAAGCTGGACTGAGTGATCTTAGGGTTCTTTTCCAACCTAAATGATTCTGATTCTTGCATTTCAAGATCCAGGTACATTGGTAAAAGCAAATGATCAATGGTCAAATGCTAGAACTGCCTTTTGTTTAAACAATATCCCACTTATTTGTCATACTTCACTTGTGATCCCCTTTTAGCAGCTTTGACAGAATTTTTCTGTTGCAAAATATCTAATACCAAAAAAAATTTTTTAAGAATATGTAGTGTGAAAATAAACTCTGTTCAGCCCATTCCAGAGGGAGAAAACATGCATGCTTGCTATTGGGTATAATATCTGTAGTGATTTTTTTTTTCTTTTAAGAGATACTTCTAGTCAGATTGCCTACCCCAATAAAATATGATTTGTGGTGTTTTGCTTGAAGACGTTTCTTTTCTTGTTAGTAATCCTTGCTCTAAGTTGTGGAGGTTGATCAAGGCTTTTGTACCAGCAGTTTCATTATACCAGTTGGGATCTTGGGGACTGTAATAATAAGGTTGGATTATAATCCCCTAGATGCATATGTGAACTGTACTAGACATACTTGAATCAATTATTAAAAGTTACAAAATAAATTTGTCTAGTCATACATTCTTTATTACCTAGAGCAGAGTATGTAGCTGAGATGTTCTACACTTGCAATTAGAGTAAAGATTAACAAAAGCAGAGAATACGTGTTTGGGTTCTTCTCCTGCTTCTTGGTCACCCTTGAAACAGCTGTAGTGCCTGCTTTTTTCAACTATTTTATTGTGGTTTAGCACCGTATCTTTTTGTGGAGTAAAGATACTGTATGAATGACTTCTCATATAAACTTGTATTCTACCACCAGTCACAAAATCCTTAATGCCTACCACAGAGTTTTTACAGCCTGTTTGTGAAAGAGCTCTAATAAGCACTAGTTTTTGATTGAAATATATTAATAATTTTTGGTATGAGACAGTCCAAGCCTGTTCTATGCTATTAAGTTTTACCAATAATGGTTGCAGTTGTTGGGGAAGCCTTTCAGACATACATCAGTCTTGTGAAGACAGGAGACTGCTGGGTAAAATTGCACCACTTTTTGCAGTGATGCAGCATTTATCATCACCTCTGTGCCCATGCAAAAATACATGAAATACACGTAAGCAAGCAATTGTGAAAGTTAGCGTTGCAAGACAACTAAAGGATAAAGCCTAAAACAAGGTTTGCGGCTGAGAGAGTTGCACAACTGAAGCTTGCTCTTAAACTTCTTAAAACAACATGTTTTTACATCCCTTGCTTGGTTTACCATGTTTGGTTGAAACTCAAAGCCAGTACATGATGCTTTGTTGTGTACAAGTGGATAGTGGAAGCAGCAGGTTGTTTGTTTGCAGACATGAAGGAAAACCTATGTAACAATTAACACAACATTTGGTGTAATGCTTCTCTGAAGATGATGCATTACCAATGTGCTAGTAAGAGCCTCTCAGTGGTGGTGTTTGTCCCTGTCCCCTGATTAATTTGCAGCCTCTTGCTTTGCAAATACCTGTCCAGTTTCTGAGACAAAGCAAGTGGCTGGATCTGAAGAGAGAGCACTAGCAAAGCCACAAGTTCCAGCTGCTCTGGGAGGGTGCGCTCCATTTCTCTTGAGCTATTGAAAGGGAAAACCACTGCAAACTTAGTTATAAACTTCTATCAGAAAAGAAAGGGCTGTGTAATCTGTGAACCAGGGTTCAAACATTGAGCAGCACTGTCAAGATTAAAGGCCAGCCCAATGTTAGCTAGCAAAACCTACCCCAGGTACCTGCTATTATTGTGTCTTGCTGGCTGCTGGATTGATTAGGGATTCAATCTTTTTTATCTATGTCAGTGTATTGGTGAACAGTCCAAGAGGCTTCCAGCTATGCCCCTTGCTCCATGTGTTGTGTTTGCTGCAGGAGACCAACCAGATGCTGTGCAAAGCCAGGGTTCTGCTAATGTGCAAGGAAACCCTGCAACAAAGCAGCCCAGTTTTGGAGGATTTTAATATTTTGTGAGGGCAAATATGTTTCCACTTTCATTCTCTGCCTGTCTCTTTGGAAAATGATGGTGGTATTGGAACAGAACTGACTTGAAAGTCCCAAATAGTACTGTGAAAGTGTTCAAGTGCTAAAGGAGAGTGACCAGTATATACTAACATCATATACTAACCAAAGATGAAAGTAGTCCTTATTATGCTTCAAGTAATCCTTGCAGATTTTACTAGGACTCAGAACTAAGCATAATATTTAGCCTAAAACAGTGCAGTATATGATCATTACTGATAGAATAAAGGAATACTAGGAAAATCAGTTTAGAAAATATGAATAGCTATACAGACAGCATATAACGGTGTAGTCTTATGAATAGAAAGCTAAATGACCAAGAAAAAATGAGCTATTTTCATGAGCAAAAAGAGAAATAGGTTGTTGATTAACAATATGATTTTTATTAATACTAAATTGAGATAGGGTTATTTCACAGCTTAGTGATAAAATATTTCATACCTGTCATTTAAATAGTAGAAGAGAAATCTGGTGCTACACATTGAACCTGCTTTCACCCAGATTCCCATCTGAAGACACTCAAACCCCTCCTTGAAATACAATCTCTAGGAGCAGATAAATTAGTTAAGGGGTAGTTTTGTGGGTTTTTTGCCATAATAGTTTAATTCCCACTAAGTGATCTTGAAGTTTTCCTGTAGCATTATTCCTCGACATAATTTTTATATATATATATATATATATATTTAATAATCCATCAATTTTCTAATAAAACTATATCTAAAAAAGTCAGGTTCCATTCAAAATTGCCATAGCTATGATATGCGATTCTCTCAGTTCTCAACTTGTTACTTCCTTTGCTCACTGAGGTCTGGTGTCCTCACTAGATACCAAGTGGCTTTTGCTGGTGGAAGAGTTTCTTTCTCTTATTTTGCTTCCTTTTGTAAGTTAGTCTTTGCAACTCAGCGCTTTGTTGATTTGTTGCCCTTTAAAATCTTGCTTAAAAGTATCTACTTTTGTCTTGATGCCAGGTGGCCACCAAAGTAACTCTATCACTCCCCTCTTCAGCTGGGCAGGAGAGAGAGTTGGAAGGGACACATCAGGATCTTCAAGTCCAGCTCAGGACCATCCCCCAGTCACACCATGTGCCTGAGAGTATCATCCAAACACTTCTGCAATTCTGTCAGGCTTGGTGCTGTGACCACTTCCCTGGGAAGCCTGTTCCAGTGCCTGACCACCCTCTGGGTGAAGAAGCTTTTCCTGATATCAACCCTAAACCTCCCCTGACACAGCCTCATGCCCTTCCCTCAGGTCCTGTTACCGATCACCACAGAGTAGAGATCTGTAATGGCAGGTTAGTGGGTCGAGATAAGGGCAGGGAGAGATCAGTCACCTATTACCATCACAGGCAAAACAGACTTGACTTGGCAAATCAGTTAATTTATCAGCGATCAAATCAGAGTGGGATTACAAGAATAAACCCCCAAACTTAAAAACATCTTCCCCTTACTCCTGCCTTCTTCCTGGGCTCAAATTCGCTCCCAATTTTCCCTTCCTCTTCCCCTCCAGCAGCACTGAGATATGGGGAATGGGAGCTGTGGTCAGTTCATCAGTCTGCTCCTTCCTCTTCAAGTGGGGACTTCTCACACTCTTCCCCTGCTCCAGAGTGGGGTCCCTCCCACAGAAAAGTCCTCCATGAACTTCTGTGTGGGTCCCTCCCATTGGCAGCAGTTCTTCATGAATTGCTTCACTGTGGGTCCCATCCATGGATTGCAGTCCTTCAGGAACAGGCTGCTCCAGTTTTGGTCATCTGTCAGGAGTCACAAGTCCTGTCAGCAAACTTGCACCCACATGGGCTCTTCTTTTTATGGGTTGTCCCAGGTTGGACTTGGCTCCCAGCCAAGTGCCTGGACCCCGGGGACAAAACCTTCCCCCTCCCTTTCACTTTCTCCCAGCCGACCGGAAAAAAACCAAAAGAACCCAAACCGAATAAATTTTAAATGAAAGATTTATATATATATATATATATATATATATATATATATATATATATAAAACTATATACACACTACCAACCAAAGGGAACTCCCCAAAAGGGAAAAGGGAAGGGAAAGGGAAAAGGGAAAAAAGGGATAAAAAGGGATACAAGAGGGACAAAAGGGACAAAAAGTTAAATACTCCCCTCGAGAGGAAGCGAGCCACACTACACAGCTACCAGCACTGTCCGCCTCTCAAGGCCAACCAGACGCGCCAGGCCTCACTCCCTCACCCGGGCAGAGCGATAGTAGAGTTACCTCCACCTTGGGTCCGCCGGAAGAAAGAGAGCGAGAGCTTCCTCTCTCTCCTTATTTATACTCTTGCTTATGTAAAATCGTATGGAATACTGGGAACATGACCTTGGTTCCTTGGTTACAACCTGATCACCAAGGAAGGCCTAGATTCAGAACCACTACAGGGTTCACAGGCATTGGCTCTGTTGGACAAGGGGGAAGCTTCTGGAAGCTTTTCACAGAAGCCCGCCCTGTAGTCCCCCCCCCCTCTCCTTGCCACTTAAACCCAATACAAAGTTTGAATTTATAAAATTTAAAAATAAAACAATCACATGGCACTTGTAGGAAAGATCTTTTGTCAATTGCTTTAAGCAGTTTTCCTAAACTGAAACTGTCATGCAATGTTTTTGGAAAGTAGACATTTCAGACTTCAATGAATAATGTGCTATAATTACTACTTTTAAAAGGATTACTACTAAAAGTCCACTAAAACAAAGAGTACTTTGTTTCCTAATTCTTCATACCAGATGAATTGTCATTGCAACAGCTTTTAATTGCAATTCAAAGTAGACAAAACAGGTGACTCCTTTACAGATGCAACCCCATCTGCTTCTGTGGCTAAGCCTCAGAGGTTTTCTTTAATATTCATGTTTCTGAATCAGATCAAAAAAGGATAAATTACAAGTAACACTGCAGGTAATAAACCATGCCTTATTTTTCAAGTAGTAATGTCATCTTCTACCACTTGGTGTCTGCATTAACACTAGGCTAATTAGAAACATGAACTGATTATCTAACATCTTCTTGCATATAAACCCCAGTCAAACACTGTTCCCCATTGTCTTATTGTGCACTGCACAGATGTGGGCTTACTGGGTACCTATTGCATCATAGTTTCCAGTCCCCGCTAAGCACTGCCTAGAGCAGAAATTGCTAGTCACACTATGAGTTTCAAGGACAGTGCCCTCCTCTACTTCAGGGATGCTGGAAGCAGACAAGAAAACACCCCCAAACGTGCACACATATGTTACCAGCAGAGGTCTGCACCAACCATCTGTGTCTGTGTTGCACAACGTGTAGAACAAGAAGGGATGCTAACCTTCTTGCTCATGATCCTCTTTATCCTCTACTCCCCAGTGTTGTCTCCCTCAGTAAGTTGTTCCATCCTCCATAAACTTACTGATAAGTAGACCAGTTCCTTGCCAGCTCCTAGGGCATAGACTCCCCCCTTGCTATCACAATGCTCAGCCAAGTAGGCCAGGAAAGATGGAAACCCATATGGAGAATTTTGAAATTCAGCCTTTCAAAGGCTTATGAGTTTTGTTTTGGTTTGCAAGTTTTTTGTCTGTTACTGGCAAATATGGCAATACAAATGTACAAGGTGGATCCCTCCAGCAGCTGGGCTCAGGCATGCCATCTGCCCAGTGCCTGCCCCTGGATCCCAATCTCCCAAGTCGCTGGCACCTGGATGTACAAGCCCCTGCCATTGCTGTTACAGCCCCTCCCCTCCTCACAGCCATACACACATGTGTGGAGACATGGTATGAATCCACTGTTAACTGTGCTTAGACATGGAGGGCATCCAGCAGGAGGCCCTGAATCCTCAGCCTCCACAGCTGACAGCACTTGGGCATGCACACCTCTGAGAGGCCTGCAGCGCCATCCTGGCTGCTGGTATATTTGGTTGGTTCTCTTCTCAGATTTTCTCTGACACCAACACTTAAAACTAACAAACAAACAAAAAAACCCCAACACCCTCGGGGAAAAAACTATTCAATGATTTATTTGTGTAATGTATTTTTACATATAGGGAATTTATGGACTATTTCATGAACTGATCACAAGAAAGGTTACTGGATACCAGATACTTGAAAGTCATTTGTTGTGCTCAGTCATCTCTAATGTTCTTTGTTTCTTGACTAATAAGATCTAACTTTCATAACATATTTTTCCCTGAATTAATTTCCTCTTAGCAAAATATATTTCCCTTAGCAATCTGAAACGACTGCATAAATACAAAATCTACTCTACAACCATTTGTAAAAACAGAATTCCTGTCTGATGTTCACAGAAGGAATTTAACTCCTCTATCCACTTCCCACAAGCGAAGTACTCGCATGTAAAAATAAGTATGATGCAAGCTGGCCCATACATGTGCAAGCTGAGCAAAGGGGCCTTTCAGGCCTCAACAGAAAGCAGAGTAAGTGAGACTGTGGCCAGCTAGGAAAAGCAAGCTTCTCTAAGTCACTCATATGACTTCATATTAGCATGTCATTGCTAGTCTCATTAGTATGACAGCATTAGTCCCTACCTAGAAAAAAACTATGGAGAAAGGATTGCTTACCAAAGCAGACTTACTTTGTTGGGAGGTTTTTTGTATGTTTTGGTTTGGTTTTGGCGGTTTGTTTGTTTGTTTGTTTTTTCTTGGTTAATTGGTTTTAGCTTTTGTTTTGTTTTTTTTTTAAATAATAGTAAGACTAACATAGAATTGTTTATGTTCGTGCTGATGAATTTTAGGCAAAGCACTGTTTGAAAGAGGAGCAGAAAGGGAAATGCTGATACTGATGAGAAGAAAAGTTGGGTTCTACATTTATTAGTGATTTGCAACTTAAATATGTTCTTAAGTAGTTGATTGTAGAATAAGATGTAGGGGAAAACACAAAGTACAAAGTGCATCCCTACTGTTTATAGAGATCATTCTCCATAACACTGGATTTTTCAGCCTAGGTAAGTATGTCTCCATGAACATTTTGAACAGCAGCCTTTGCTTTCATTTTAAGTAAATCACTTTTCTTAGAGGCTCTCCAGCAAGGATTTGGAATGTATACTAGTGAAGTCTATAGGTAATTTCGGTCTGCAGGTCCCATATATTTGTTAACTGCTGTACAGATCCTCCAGAGAAATGTACTGCCTTTGCCTACTCTATGCTTCAACATCAAGGCCAGCTGTTTGGCAGCAAGGCTGGGCATTCAGCCAGAGCTCTACTTGATCCAGAAAAGGTTTTATCTTTCCTAATGTATACTGCAAATATTTTGTTCTAGCAGATCTGATTTGAAACTTTCCTGGGTGATTGATGAGATCTGCCCTGAGACACCACAGACCGTTTCCTCTTCCTTGTGGGTAACTGCAGATGTAATGTCTGTGGGATCAAAACGTTTTGTCCATAACTCTTGCTGGCTTCCATGTGGCCCAAAGGAGAGAGTTCAAACTGAATGAGTTTGAATCGGGCCCAGCAAAGAATTACGCCATGCAGTAAAAATGTTGAGAAAGTGCTCTTAGCAGCTGTGAAGAAAGCTGAGGGAGAGTTGTCTATCCCATAAATGGCACAGTCAAGGTCAAACTACTTCCACCCTGTCTCCTAGCCCTATGCCAGAGCCATTGCTAGTAATAACAGATGGTTTCCAGGCCAGCACTGGGCAATAGGATCCTTACGGCAAGGCCAAGTAGCGTGTTGTGCACAGTAACCTCTCTTCAGTAAGCAACATATTACACAGAGCAAGGAAAGGATTTTACTTGTCACAGGGATGCTGAAAGTAGAAAACAGCAGGAAGAAACAGAGTGGGAAAGGTGAGAAAGGCAGTTTCCCATCCTCAGAACAGATCTCTGTAGGTTTTCCAGTTTCCCATCCTCAGAACACATCTTTGTAGGTTTTCCTGTCCACTTGTAACAGATCCAGTTCAAGGGAAGACTCAAGGGTTTCACAGCCTTAAGGAAGATTCACAGCCTAGAATCAGACATAGATTTATGCGATGACTAGCATACTGGGTAGTGTGGAGTATAGATGGATACTATGTAGGGTTCTTGTAGGTCACTTAAGGAAGAGAATGATCAAGAGAGCGTAGAGGCACTGGTCAATCTATACAAACAAGGAGTTGTAGGAGGATGACTGTACCATGTAAGAATTGTCTAAGTCCCTGATACATCATCCTATGAGAACACTTCTATCAGAAAGGATTACTTCTGGACCTCTGATATGACCTACACCATCAACAAGGGAAGGAATAACAGAAGCATTTGAAATAGAATGGCAGCAAAGTTGTCAGAGAAGCACTCTTCAACCACTAAGTGATGTATGTGAACAGTTGGAAAGGGCAGTAGCATAGCTTTATGCTCAGAATCACTTCTGTAGAGTTGTCTTTATGGCCAGTCTGATTAACTCATGGTAGATGAACTTAGCAAATAAGATGCAGAGACTGCACAAGAGTTATTCATTCAATGCATTTTGTTTCTCCCACCATGCAAGACTCATTGGTAGTACCAATCTTAACTTCCTGCACTGGTAGCCACGTGGATTAACTGGCTTCTGAGAATTTTGCGCAATCCTAAGAAGCTTGATGTTCACATTGTCTGTCACCTTCTGAGTACATACACAAGAGATTACTTCCATCTAACAAAAACAGGTCTCGTGGACCATGTCTGTCATCACCTCATGAAGAACCACCTGGGATAAACTTCATAGCTATCACCAGGCAACTCTGAATGAGAAAACAGCTACAGCTTGGAGATGGAAACAGCCTCTCCAGGTCCCAGCAGGCAGGTGTAGAGCCACAAGCACATCTGTCTTGGGTACAAATTAACTTGTTTCCAATGAGTCCATGCATCCTTCCCACCATGTCAAAAGAAAAAGACAGCTGAAGTTTTGTGTTTCTGTAAGCAGAGCGAATACTCTGTCTACCTGCTCAGTGGCATCAGTCAATGCCACACCACAATTCTGTCAGGGACTTTGCAAGAAAAGAGGATCCCATTGCAAGCTTCAGCTGTCAAGCAACTATGACAAAGATCTTCCAGTTAAGAGCTCTTGTAGTGGAGGCCTCCCTTGTGGCCTCACAGGAACCTGGAGCTGTTTTCAGGCTTCTGAATGCTTCAAGCCAGTGGTGGATTTGAGGCATGGCAAAAAGTAAAGCTGCCTTATCACAAAGCTACATGAGTGCTTCAGCTTGGCACATGGCAGCAGGAATGGCAGCCTCTCCTTGCTCCAGTGCATGACCTGCTTGGAGGAACGGCAGCTATTCTGCTAGCTCAACCTAAACATAATAACCACAGGCAACCAGATATCCCAATCTGTTTCAATGCTGACATTTCACTCCTCCTTCCTCATGCCTTTTTTGCTTTCACCACAATAAATGTGTTTCATCGTGGACACCTACATGTCCATGAAGCGCTCTTCAGTCCAGGAGCTCAGAGGCATAGACTTACTGTGAAGCCAACGCTTGCTGCAATTGGACACTGATATTATGAACGGACTCCTTAACTTAGTTTACGTGGCTGTGGAGTGGAGACTGTCATCCCAGGTAACGATCATGTTTCTGCCCTTCAGTCACAACAACTCCATGCAGCGCTACAGGTTGAGGGAAGAGCGGCTGTAAAACTGCCCAGCAGAAAAGGCCCTGGGTGCTGGGTCAACAGCAGCTGTACATGAGCTAGCAATGTGCCCAGGTGTCCAGGAAGGCAGGTGGCATCCTGGCTTGTATCAGAAATAGTGTGATTAATCCACCAGGATTAAGGCAGTGATTGTCCCCCTGTACTTGGCACTGGTGAGGCCACACCTCAAGTACTGTGTCTAGGTCTGGGTCCCTCACTACAAGAAGGACTTGGAGGTGTTGGAGCGAGTCCAGAGAAGGACAACAAATCTGGTGAAGGGGCTGGAGCAGAAATCTGATGAGAAGTGGTCGAGGGAGCTGTAGTTGTTTGGCCTGGAGAAGAGGAGGCTCAGGGGAGACTTTATTGCTCTCTACAGCTATCTGAAAGGAAGTTGTAGCAAGGTGGGAGTTGGTCTCCTCTCTCAGGCAACTAGAGATAGGACAAGAGGAATGTAGCAGGGGAGGTTTAGATTGGGTATTAGGAAAAATTTTTTCACTGAAAGGGTTGTCAGGAATTGGCATGGGCTGCTTGGGGAAGTGGCTGTCACTGCTCCTTCAGGGATCCTGGAAGTATTTAAAAGACGTAGAGATGTGGCATGAACGGACATAGTTTAGCGATGGACTTGGAAGTGCTGCATTAAAGGTTGGACTTGATCTTAGAGGTCTTTTCCAACCTAAGCAATTCTATGATTCACTGCTGATACCCACAGACAGGAGATACATGCACTGCCATCACAAGGGGACTTTGTAATGTCCAGGTATGTTCTGTTCACCTACAGTCTTCAGGATACCAAATGCATGTCTGTTGCACTGCATGTGTGTAAGATCTCAAGATGAAAAGGTACTGGCAAACTCAAGAAGTCCTGAAGAAATCCCAGCTGACCTCTGTCCACAGTTTGTGCATGCACTGGAAAGAACTGATGGTGAGGCTATTTTTAATTTCTCAAGGAAGGGAGAGAAAGTTGCAAAGTGCAGTATTGAGCTAGGAGGCTTTGGTGCAAGAAAGTTGGAATGCTGGTCGAAAGTCTGGGGGAGAAGTGCCTGCATACTCTTCTGGTCCCTGGCCTTGATTTTAGGCCCTTCAAAGAGCAAATGGAGACATGTGCTGATGGATGAGTCACCACTCTGACAGATTTCCTGGACTCCTGGCCAACACCTACATCTGTCCACTCTACCTCCTTTGCCCTCCATATTCCTAGTTCAAGCGTTTTTCTACAGCAAAATAAATTTTCAGCCATGCTCTCTTACTGATGCAGGCTTTTCCTATCCTTGTTGTTATCATCACTTTAAAGGACCTGCTAAACCATATTATTCTTTCTTATCAGTCCCTATCTAATCTGTCCTACAGCTGCTGTACATCATTGTTAGCTAGAAACCCTGCCAAAAAATCTTTCTCTTCTTTGATCTTCTGTACTCCTCTGCTCCCTTATCAATGGCCCAATGTGAATATGGCTCAGGTCAGGACTTTTATACCAGCACCAAGCTGTTTCTCTTCTGGAAATCTCCTTCCTGAGATGTCCAAGTGATTTAGTTGTGGTCCAAGAACAGTTAACAATAATAGCTCTGAAGGTGGAGATGGAGGACATAGGTACATTTAAGGAGAGGAAGGTGCACTGCAACAGAGCAATTTCTATTTAAAGAGCAAATGCATATAGGTAGTTGCCTGTGCTGCCTATAGATGAGGACCAGTGCGCAGGATAAACCAATGAAAAATACTTAGGCAGCTGACCACACAAGATAAATTAGCTCCTAGAAATCTATACAAAATCGAATATGGCTTTGATCTAGTATGATAGCTAATAAAAGTGATCTACGTCTTTCACGATGACACCTGGTGTAACTTTAATTCTACCCACAGTCATTCTGCTATGCATAAATGATTCTTTCAGGTTTAGTATTGAAGCAGCTGATTACCTATCTGATGCCATGTTAACATGGTAGATGAGGGTTCCAGGGCACATCCTTACTAAGCAAATTTTACATTAGCTTTCTCACTGCTTGTCCCATATGTCTCAGCATTGGTTATTTTTTTAATAGTAAAGCTTACACCCAACAGATCTGAAGGAAAGCATTTTTATTCTAATAATGTTCCTAGAAGGAACAATGCATTACTTATAGACTCTTCTCCTAGCAAACAGTTTAGCCAGATCTATTTTTTCCTTCCATTTTAGAGCACATGCAATCACACTATGAGTTGGGATCCCTTCTCCTTGCCAGGATTCACATAGCAGGTTCCACATTCCCCCAGCTATCCTCTACACAGCGGCCTGGAAAAGGACAACATAAAGATGATCCTGGGACTACCTAGATTGCAGAAGGAATCCTGACCAGTTCATTCCCAGGAACTTTCGTGAGAGCCTCCTTAATATATTCTCTCAACCTCTCATTCAAAGGCATGTGACCCTTCTGACAAAAGCAACTCTCTGCAGGGGTCTGCATTAACCAGGATAGGAAGACAGAGCATCTGATTTCATACAACTCTTCAGAACCCACTTAAAAAATACTTTCAAAAGCTTTTTAGATATTCAGCAAAAACTTCATTTGTTTATGATCTTTCTTACAGAGAATTTTTTCTACAGCTAAAATTATTGTTAAAACCCTCTCTGTGCTTGTTATCACAATTTAATTTCCATGTCTAAATAAGCCTTTGAAGAAAAAGTCTGTAAGATTTAATTATCTTCAATTAGGTGTTACTGCTGGCAAAACATTCTCTCTTAAGAAAAGTGACAAGTCTCAAAGGCAGCATTCCTTATCACTGAGTTAAAAAACAAACCTTCCAAAATCTGTACGCTTTCCAACCTTTTCTAGATGGGGAAGAAAAACAAAATAGTACACAAGAATAACTTTAAAATTTTCATAGACTATCCTTTATGATACAGAACAATTAGATAATTATTTATGTCACTGAATACTTAAAAAATATGGTGTGTTAAGTATTTAATTGCTGTGTAATAAGCTAAGATAAATATTCATATAAAGCAGCCTTTTGAAAGTAATCCCTATCAGAGTCCCAAATATATCACTGGAAATAGAACGTGGGAATGTCAAGGTGACACATTTACTCTGCTCCTGTTGTTTTGCTGCACATCTACACAATGCACATGGTGATGCAAGGTCTGCAAGGCAGAGTTCCCACCAGAAGCGTTGACACATCTCCAGCAGTGTGAGGCAAGAATCACACCCGGCTGTCTGTGCACCCTCTGTCCCTACGCTGCCACCCTGAATGCAAATATAATTGTGAACAGCTTGCGAACCGCCTCCCACGCTTTCTCCATTTACTACACAGCTATTTTATGTAGGCAGCCAGAAGAGTATTTTCATGCGCATGAACATGCCTGGCTGGAAGCTGCAGCTGTTCGGCTTTTGATTTATCATGTGTTCAGCTTCTCTGACATAGGGCTGGCAACCCTTGTAAGAGTAGGGAAGACAGGGTGGGAAGAGGAGATGGCTGGTGGTTGACAGCTGTTTCAGCCTCTGCACTTTAATTGGCTCTGAATATGTCTTCACACTCTAAATTTGGCTGACGCTTACTGTTCATCAGAAGAGAACACAGAGCCTTGAAGAGAGGAAGGACTGAGCCAAGTAGAAGGTTTAAGGGAGAAAATACGACATGATTTAAGCCTGTTCAGGGTTACTCATGACAGGCCTTCTTTAATGGGAAATACAAGCCATTTTGAAGAACGTAAAAGCCCGTATTTCCAGAGGACAAATTATAAGAATGCCCCAAATCACGCTTTGTAAGAACCAGAAACTTCTGTTCTGGATTTCTACTTGTCTCCCTATCAGCTACATTTGAGACATGAAAACTGTATCTCCACTCTCCTGTTCAGGAATGTATTTACTGAAAAAAAGGGTGACAACAGTGCAGCTAAGGAAACTGTCTGCTCTTTATCTTCTCCTCAACACTGTCTCCTGGTGACTAGCACACTCTGAAGATCACTTGTTAAAGATGCACCTCGTTCAGCTGGACAACCTTTCTCTCACACCCCCATCCCGTTTGAGACCGTGGTTTGTTCAGTTTTTTACTCTTCCTACCTTCATCAGATACAAGGCTGGTCAGATACACTACTGAATTCTACTCTCTGTGCCTTCTCCATCCTATCACAGAAGCACAGAATATTCTGAGTTGGAAGGGACCCACAAGGATCATTGATTCCACCTCTTAAGTGAAGGGCTATGGGCCACAAAGGCTATGAAGCAGATAGATCTGGTCAGTATGAAGAAGGCTTTCAGCCTGGTTGGGGGTGGCCAGAATGAAGGCCCTACGGGCCAAAATCCTGGAGATGTCCCGGAGAGTTAGAACTGTTGAAGAACCTTTCAGTCACCTCTCATTTGCTGTGTTGCCCCGGTGGAATTACACCTGTGGCAATGCCCAGCTTCAGAGAAAAGAACTGAGGTTGCATCACTCAGGTATGCTGTATTTGCATCTCATCATTTCGAGGGGTGTGAACTTGGCCATAATAAAGGTCTGAGACACTATCTGCCTTTATCTGTGTTGTTGAGTTCAGTGTTCTTTATAGAAATACATTAATAGCAAGCATTGGGCAACACTGCCACATATATATCCTACTTACATATTCAACTCAATTGCCATTATTTACCAATATTGCCATAATTTATAATTTATAATTTACCAATTGCCATTATTTACCACTATTAGCAGAATTGGCATTGCAAGCATCAAAGTTATCGACTACAAGGTTGCCAAAGACTCCAGCACTGTCAGTGTTGCCAAATCAAAGATGTACGTGCTGAAGCTAA